AATGTAATGGAACCTAGGTTCCGATGTCCTCTATCTTGGTCCACATGCTTGAACCGACTTTCGCGCAGTTGTGGAAATACAAGATTTCGTTTTTATTAATATAGAATGCCGTGGTGATTCCATTATTAAAAGAAAACAATACAGATACGAGCCGGGAACAATGTTATTATTGATGTCGTAACAAAAGAAGTCAAATACACTGTGACGAGACAATAGGCCAGAGAGGTCACGTAGCTCATGCGTTCAATTTCAGCGAGGCGGTGTTGACGAAAAATGCTTTTTAGGATAAGTGACAGACTGCGGAAAACATAATTCAATGTCTTTCATAAGTGTTTTTATCTATGTTTGGCTGAGAGGGATTGTGCAAGGACAGGATGGGTGGCGTGGAGGGCATTTTAGGAATGGTATGATTAGAATAAGTGAAATACGTACCTGGCAATGTAGCGTAGAAAGTTCGATTTAGGTTAGAATTTGTTTTAGCTGGGAATAGTATAAATTAGGATTAATAATGGAGGGGCGCAGGGATTTCCAGGTTTTGATTTGCTTGGCAACGTCACATTGTGAATTGGTACTGCTATAGCGTGAGGTCTGCCACATTATACCGGTAGTCTTAGGGCTAAAATAAGTGTCATCTGTTAAAAATTGGAAATGTAACAGTACCGGTAATCGTCACCCTGTCGTACTGTCTTAAATAAGATCCAGGCTGTAGTGTGCTATACCCACGTTATAAGAGCATCCATGATTTCCTACATTCGATATACAATGATTCCACAATAAATTAATTTATAGACTACCAACAGTTGAAGGTATTCATAAAATCCGCACCGGTGGAAGTCGATATAGATTTTATATTCTGATTATAAATACCCTGATCTTATATTAAACAATGGACTCTCCCCTTATGCAGTTAGGAAAACTCAATTTAATCGTCCACTAAACCTGTATGTGGAAATACAGCGCTCCCGTAGTATGTGCACCAAGATGGTGGACACTTGGAAACAGTATGTGTTCCAGTTTAGGCCATAACTTTATTCCAATTTTCCTTATTTAGTTCGATTACGAGTTCGGGGACCAGCCAAGAGACTCCCGTAGTATTTGTACCCGAAATTCTGGCCTAACCTGGTATACATCATACGTTACGGCAGGGGTTCTCAAACTTTTGGTGTCGCGGAGCCCTTGAAATTGTTGACTATTATTCACGGAGCCCCAAAATAAATGTTAAAATTGTTACTTTCTGATTAATATTCCTGAGCAAGTTAAAAGTACTTTACTCAATTTAAATGCTGAACCTTTTTTGATAGGGTTAATACAAGTTATAAATAAATCTAAATTTCAAACATAAATTATATATACTAAAGCTGTAAATTTGACACTTGACAAACATACTAATAAATTAGGGGTCGAATCTTCTCCCTTTTTGACATTTTTGGAAGACCCAAAATGCCGCTAATAATTTGCGCGATTGCATTTTGTTACAATCGCCGATTTTTTTCCTCAGCATGGCGGCGTGTTTTTGAACCTACATCTTTACGCCGTTGTTTATTCTCCCTAAATCAAAAATTTCCCTCGGCATATACATGTATTGTTACACAATGACGACGTTAATTACTTTTTTGTTCTCGTGAGGGAATTATGAGTTCAATGTGAAAAATATGTTACCATTTTATAGTCATCGGCGACGAACTGCTAAAAATAATAATTAATGAAGAGGTAGATCCGCAACTCAAATTTCTTGATTGAAAAGCGGCATTCTAAAATATTAAAACTAAAACTTAAAATGGAAGATCACACGTTTGGTTTCAGCAGACTCACCGTAGATTGAAAACGCTTTTATAGACATTGTAAATCACAAAATTTGCTGTTATGTTAGATTTTCATCGTAGTAATTGCAAAATCAAAACACAGTCAATTGTGCGTGCGATGTATTTTTTTTCTTCCCATTTTGAAACTGCCGACGGAACCGCACGTAATCAATTGTGCGCGCGATCCGCGATGTACCATTTTCATTCTAAAACTACCGATGGAGCCGAATGCAATAAAATAGATTTCAATTGTTCGTATTTTGCCCAGACATTGTGATTTTTTAAACGGCGATATCTTGCTCAAATATAATCTCAAGTGCGAAAGAACAAATCAAGTTTGACAAACCCCAAGATCGCAAAAATACGACTCCAATTTATTTATAGTTGGCAGTTTATCACATATTTTATGTTATTTTAGAATAGTATTCTTTCATTTTAGTAATCCTAATAGTAATTTCGAATCAAAGGTGAGTAAAGATGAACACAATTACATTATAACGACGAGACACTTTAAGGCATCGGTCATGGATTGAATATTTTACGCAACAGAAATCCCGTTATCCGTTTTTTAATCGCGAATGTTGCGCGGCAATTTTCGATTCTAATTTTGAACCACCTCCCTCTTAAGAATCCTGGCTGCGCTCCTGCTTATAAATAATGCCATTTTTAAATTCCGCCTCCGTGCCATATTTCGAGGCTATATTGTTGTCAGATTTTATCAAAGCTGTTATTGCTTCTTTGAACAGTTACAAAATTAGTCAGTATTTTGAAAAGTAATCGAATAGCCCGCGGAGCCCCTGGGTTTCTCTCGCGGAGCCCTGGGGCTCCGTACGGAGCACTTTGAGAACCTATGCGTTACGGTATGCGTCATCTTGGTTCACATACTACGAGAGTGCCGGAAATCCCTACAAGGTAGAAGGGTTTATTCCTTCGTCAACGCAAATTAAATGCTCTCGGAAGTGCCAGGTAATTCCATAGTAACTATTTCACTTCACAAGGGTTCGAAAATTTGACCTATCTTTAGACTTCTAGACTAGTAATATATGTCGAAATTTGCTTTTAAAACGGAAAAAGGGCGGAGCTGTTCTTTAAATCTGATAGACTTTTCTCAAACCGTCACTATTGATGCATATAATGTCAAGACATTTTAACCAGATGCCATACCAGAAACAACTATACTATGTTCTTGTGCTTGCATGGTGAGTAAAGTTTTACCCTATTCTAAGCTAGATTATTTCTAAGCTAGGTTACTTCTTAGACTGCTTAGTTTTAGAATTTTCTTCCTTAGCTCAAGTTAAATTAAGTCACACAGATAGCAATTACATCTATTTTATTCAAAATCAAAAACTATACTCAAAATAATGGAGCAAATAAATGAGAAAGTTTTCTTATAAGCAATCATGTTTCTGTTTGCCGATTATTCTGTGCACGCAGTAAAAAAATACACTTTAATACTTAAATTTATGATATTTGCATTGAATAACATAAGAAATTGAATCGTAAAAAATTTCAAGCCAAATACGGAAACGTTTTGAAATGTTTCATCCATTCAAACAATTTGGGGAAACTCTTTAATTTATTTTCCATTTTGTAAGATAAAATTGGCGGACCAACACTTATTGCTAATTTTCACTGGTCAGTATATGAAGTAAGTAACTGGCGCTAACTAGGTATCTAATACTCAGTAATATTAGTTATTTCTTATCTATTATATTTATTAGTAGGTTTCACCCTGGGATGTATATATTTATTAGTTTACAAAACAATCGGACAAGGAGGGTGGTTTTGGAGGTCGCCCACAGGGGCGTGCCAAACCCTTTTGATGCCCGGGGCGAGTTTCTGATAATGTTGCCCCTTATACCTAACCTCAAAAATAATCGGAAATTTCAGTACGGATCAAATATTTCAATGATTATTCTGTCTTCTATCCATTGTTGACATCCATGACTAAACACATTATGTCAGTTTTTAAATAAATAAAAGCATGTGTAATAATGCAGACTACAGCTCGGTTTCGCTGCCCCCTGTAACGTGCTGCCCGGGGCGGCTTGTGCTCTGACTTGTAATTATAAAACATTATATACATTGATTGTAACACATTAACATCACAAAATTATTTTCCTTAATGCAATTCTGGATCGTCGCTGACGTGATATCATATATGTCCGACGGTGATTGAGTTACTACAACAAAATCTTTCATCTGTTTCAACGTGTTCAGTCTGATTTGTCTTCGGATCAAATTTGTACAAAGAATATCTTCTGAAAAAATATTTGTAATTTGTACAAAAAAAATTGCTGAAAACATATTCGTAATCTTTATTAACTATTTACTTAATTTCGAACAAATCTTTGGGCAGAAGGGCGACTTACACGAGCTTTGGAAGCAAACAATTTAAACCATCTACTTTGATTCAATAAGTAAAAAAATATATTTTCATATTATCAACTTCTAAATTAATATTTTATATTGAATCGTTCATGGTGAATCGATAAGCGACAACAATTGTCGAAAACAAGTTTCTCAATGCAGCATTTACCGACTGGGTAGAAATTTTGCCCCAGGTAAGAATTTGCCGTTTTATAAAAGTAATTTTTCTTTTTATAATATTACTAATATTCTTTAGTTTTTCATTAGAACTATAATACTTATTTATGGACACATATCAACCACCGGTATTTATACTGTACATAAACGGTAGTACCACATACGCTTGCGCCCACCAAAGGATCTTTTAAGGTAAAAACTAAAAACGTTTCCTGCATGGGAGGATTTACATAGTGCAACATCTGCTCGGAATGAACTAATTATGAGATATCATATGTTGTTCAATCTGCAATAGCCGGTATGTATACCACAATGCTTGAATATATTAATAGAACTGTCAAACCTATTTCATGGCTCAATTCAAAACTCCAATTATTATTAAAATAGCGATAAATTCTTAAAATCGTGTCTTGTATGAAAAAGTCGTCGTCTAAAATTTCAGCAATAAATAGCCTTATTCAAACAATGACTAAAAGATCTTCATCAGGCGCATCATTGAATAATCCAAACATATCCGTATTGCGTACGTACCCTTCCACAGCTATAATATAATATATTTCATTGTTGACAGCAACAATATGTTTGAATTCCCAACCAGAATCCGGCAACTGATTTTGCAAAAATATTTGCTGCCATGAATTGTTGTTTATGTCATAGCAATGAAGTACTCGACCACCTGCAATGTGAATTTAATACACTCTAGGTTGGATAGGAAATGGAATTTGAACCCGAGATGCCAATACAGTTTAGTTTAGTCCAACGCTTCAACCTTCAAATCATCGCATCGATCACGGATTTTGGATTATTGAGGCATATGGCTGAAATGGTTAAGTTATAGCTGCTAGGTAGAAAGGATTGAACTCAAATTAAAAATCTATGCTTAATACGGTTTTGTACAGACATATACAAACACTTTCCATTTGAATAGAATAAGGCTCGGCGGTGTGCCGCATCGTGCTAAGCGTTGGAAATACACTCGCCAATACTATATTAGGTGTTCACTAAATACCAAACAATTTATATCGACCATATGAATGATGTTCATTTTTCAGTGTAGGTTTTATTCGCTAAAAATTGTATTTTTTTACGCCAGGGCCACTTGTGCGGGAAAATCTTACCCCAGCGTCATACCTATTATGTATACGAAATCGTTTGAGTGTGCGGCAGATGCAAATATATATGGCGTGTATACAGACATCCGTGCAGTGAACTCCCATTTTGAAGTTTCAGGATCGAACACTTCGCCACTTCTGAGCTGGCGACCGGATTCACCAAATCCACCAAAACAATACAAACGTCCTGAAATACAGAGGAAAGTTTGATTGACAAAGGAACTGTTCGATTCATTCACGACAGGGGTCGGCAACCTACGGCCCGGGCCCGCAAGGCTTCACTGAATTATAGTAACAAAACGGCTGTTTGGACAATTATATTTTTACGTAACAGAATTTATTGTGAGACACGTGTAGACAAATTTTATTTCAACCTAACAAGTATATAATTCACAATTACTCGTTTGTTGAGCCAATAAATTAATTATGATTAGACAAATAGCATCAAAACACAGAAAAATTGATGCTAATTGTAAAGGGTTCAATGGCGCAGAAAATATTCAAATATAATTTTTTGAGGCTCAATGCAACGAGAAAATAAATCTATGTTTTATTCGAGTGATGTATCACTACTTGATTTTTATAAAAACAATTCTTCTTGAAGGAAAACTCTACCCAAATTTGACAAACCATGCGAAAAATTCAAAATTTTTCAAAAAGTGGTGATATGAGTTCACACTGGATGCAGGATGTAGTATTTTAATATATATAAATAAATGGAGTCTTAAATGAAAAATACGCCAAAATAGACGAGAAAAGTAGAGTAGAAAACGGTCCTAACAAGACATGGCTTGTACGAAGGAAAATTGAAATGTAGGTAAATTCTCTAGCAGTTTTCGAAATAGCACTTCATGGAAATTTAATCCTTGGTAAAAAATTTCCATTCGATCATCATATTATTTGTGAAATAATCAACGAGGTGTCAAATTGGAATGTTAGAAAAAAGAAACAGAAAGACAAAGGAATTTATTTATCGCTTAGTATACTGTATACCAAATCCTAAAAATATATTCACATTCCCTACATCACATTGCCTACTTTGAGTTACATTCGCTTACAAGTATCTACGTGATAATTATAATATTATACAGATCCCAATTGAGAGAGGCAAATGAAATAATGTAATAATCAAATGGATCAGGCCGAGTTGTAACCTCCGTGGAAAAGGTTATCACTGGGTCAATTTGAAGAGAGGCTGAAATGGCATCAAAACACCAATTCTCTGTCAAACTCTTTTACACATGGAACACCGAGATTGTATCACTTTGTAAATGACATGGGCGACGTTTATTCACGGTTTAAATCACTATTTACCTTTAGCCGCAACAACTTGGGGAAAACTTCTAACTGTTTTCATGTTTTCAATTTTTTGCCATTCGTTAGTCGTTGAATTATATCTTTCGACGCGGTGACGGTTTCTCTCAAAACATCCACACAGGTAGATACATCCTAAAAAGAAAACCCTTTTAAAAATGCCAGATTTCATATCAGAAAATAATATCAGCTTTAAAAATAATCTGAGGTCATGTGAATTTAACTTCTACATTAGTCTTACGGTATTTCTGGCGCTAAATGATAGCCGCATTGAAGACTTGACAAAACAAGAGCCGTTCCCGAAACCTAGCGCTTGTGGGGCACAATGTCATGCTGAGATTGTAAAAGAAAATGCAAAAACAGTAAAACATTCATATTAATTTCATCTATAATTTACGATATTATATATTTATTATTATATTTCGGAATCGACTGATTTGACCACAGTATTTAGATGTCATATTATATATATTTGGGTTGGTCGCATTCTCAACTTGTTGAGGTCTCTAGCACACGCCATGACTTGACCGTTCTTTGCACTTGCATTCTATCTGTGCATAAAAGAAAAGATTGTGGTAAAAAAATTACCACTCATTGCAACTGCGAGTGGAGAAGGCCCGGGAAAAGATATTATGTCCGACAATCTTTCCCATATCGGTTCAGCATCAGCGTATTTTGTACGATAAACGTCCTTATTTGCCATAAGTACATAGAGATATTCATTCACTGCAACAGTAGAATAGAGGCCATCGGAAAGCCAGAATATTTCCTAGAAGGAAAATAATTCAAGAATAATTTGCGATAAAAACAGTAGCATTCTTCTTCTTTCTTCATCTTACCTTCCATTCACGCCATTCCTTTATTGCTGGTTTGTAGAAGCTGAATCTGCCATTGGCAGTGAAGATAATTACATTTTCATATTTTGCGTTGCTGACTTCTGTTGTTGCTATATTGGAAAAATCTTAAACGAAATTTCCTTGTCTTGATCAATAGTATTAAATCACCAAGTAATTTATTAACTCGGTTCAATAAAAATATATTAAGTTCTGTATTATTGACGCCGCAAAATATTGGAACTTTCATGCACATGGTAATTTTATCTTTGGATTTGTATGTTTAATCTACTTCCTTATGGAGCAACACCTGCCGCCATTTTTGTTGAATAATTTCTAAATGAATACGTCAATGAAAGACAGAAATTAAAACGAATTGTAACAAGCAAAAAAAAAACTATACTGTGAAATGACATTACAAGTTTCAACGTTAGCAACGTGAAACATACTCTGAAATACAAACATTTAGGAAAAAGTCGTAATATTTTCACCGAATAGGTAAATTTATTAACATTTTTAATTTTTGGCAATAAGATAATTTCGTCACGACAAAATTTACATTTTGAATTGTTAACATTTCTTCTTGAACCAGGATTAATTAACATACTATAAATATCATAGCTAGACTTACCATAATTTCTTGGGCATAATCCGGGACAAACTCAAAACTATGAATGAAATAACTGGACGAAGGCCTGAGCTTGGCAAATTTTTAAACCGTATTTTTATTTACAAGCTTTAATATTGCATATTTCACCGTACTGTTAGCCTACTACATTACTCTACAGAATCTCAAGTTCTAGATTACTTTCAGCATGATATGACTCAAACAAAACCAAATAAAAGTTATTATGCCTTCTCCAACTCCAAGCATACCTAAAACGGCTTCTAATGCAGCAATTGCTGTAGTTTCATTCAGAGGTTCCAAGTCTTGATTCTGGCCTGTTGCTCGTTGAACCTCGGTTTGTAATTCCTCACTTTCAAGAGTGAGATTTTCCAATTTTGTTGGCAAAATATACGAATCACCTTGAACATATAGAATACGATTCAGTAAGTTTTACAATTAATCAAACTCAGAGCTCTTTTTCCCCCCAATAAACATACATTTGATTATATAGATGGTATTTGAAATATATAAAGATGGCAACCAAATTGTACGAAATACACTCAAGCTGCATATGTAAAACAATTAACTCATGACTTTACAGATTATGGCATGACAGAAGGCCAAATATTTAACTCTAATTGAATAGGATTATTTGCCACAAACAAGAACATATTTATATATCCAGCACAAGATATTATCAAATTCCATTGAACTAGAAATAACTTCAATCACCTCTCACTGATTCTTGAAACAATTCATCGGCCAGAAGTTTGTCAGCCGTTGGGCGATTTTTCGGCTCAAACTGCAGCATCTTCTTAAGAAAACTTACGGCTTTGGTTTTGTCGCTGATGAGCAGATGGCTGAGATCACGGTTTTTGTTTTTTTTGATGTACATGTTCCATCCATCTGGATCTTCACCAAATGGATGTTTTCCATCACTCCATACCGCGTATATCACGAGACCCATCGAATATGTATCGGATTTTATAGAAATCACGTCGTCGTTATAGGTTTCCGGAGCTCTGTAGCCATCAGTACCAGCTCGCATGATACTTTGGGCAGTGTATGAACGGCCTTTGCGAAGCTCTTTCGACAGCCCAAAATCGGATATTTTAGGGGCCTTTTTATCAAGCGATAGCAAGATGTTATCAGGTTTTAGATCACGATGAATGACGTCGTTTTGATGAATAAACTGCAAACCGTAGAGCAACTGCTGTGCGAACGAAATCGCAAGGTTGTCGTCGAACGGGACGCGCATTTTCTGTCTGTTTTTCAGAAAATCGGTAAGATTTTCCTCGTGACAAAGTTCCATAACAATGAACATTCTTCGAGTGAACGGATCTCCGTGATACACGTCGGAATGGATGATGGAAACAACATTTGGGTGAAGAGCCAGCTTTAGAAGAACTTTGGCCTCCTGCAGGTTACGTTTGTTGAAATCGAGGAATTTGATCGCCACAGGTCTGGGGCCAGTTACCTCGCTCAGCTGCTCTCCACGATAAACATGTCTTCTTCCACACAATGGCTGATCACGGAACGCTCTATACGCTCCGCCGACATTGATAAAATCTATTGAACCGAAAGTGAATTGAGCGTGAAACCAGACAATGTATTTCTAGTTAGTTACACATATCTTGTTATCAGTATGCGTTGTTATGTCACAAACAATAAGTGTGTTTTGTGTGTTCGTATACGATTGGACGTCGCAGATAGATGTTTTCACGGACCAAGGCTGTGCAATCGGTGTCGCAATTTCTGACTTTCAAAGCGATAGTCGATTACAAGATGGCCTAAGGAACTGAAGTGTAAAGCGTATACAAGGGTTATTAACGGACTATTAAAGAAGGCTTGCCTAAACCAACTTTTTTTTCATTAAAAATTTGATTTCCCTGACAATTCGTATCTGGCTTCAAATTTCGATTGTAAATTTTCCCGACTTCGCGTCTCTGCCCTGAACATCAAGTTATTTGTTTAATGCCTTAACGCTTAACCGCTAATCATCGAACTCACAGTTCTCGGCCGTCATTTTGTTTGGATAGAGTTTGAGTTATGCTGTGTTGCACTGTTAAACAAAGATGCAAATGACTGGGCTAGTCGAATCAGCGCTCATTATTTTTGATTTGCAGTAAATTGAACATTTAAACAAAAAGTGTTTTTGAACGTACAAACAACTAACATACTTTCAAGGCATCAAAATTGCATCAAAAAAGCATAAGAAGAATATTTTATGGTCAAGGATCCGGAAAACATTTATTTGCACCATTTCAAAGTCATGATAAGTTGCCATAAAACTTCTGTAATATTCTTGTTATTTGCATGATTACCGTCTGTTACTGTTTTTATGATTCCTATGACTTAAACACCTAAATCAAATTTTGCTGTTCGATTGCCTTTGATGTTAAATATGGCGCTGGGTGTTGGTGAGTTCTGTTTTGCAGTGGAAATATTTGTTTGGTGATCTAGTCTAGTGTCGAATGCTGACACTTTGGTGTTTATTTCTAGTTCCTGTGGACAAAAATGTGGCGATGTTTCCTGAATCTGTTTATGGCATGATGGTAAAAATACTGGCATATTTTTGCATAATACGAATTTCGCTCATCCAAAGTTTGTTAGGTACTCCCGCTTACTCTTAACGTTTTTTTTATCATGTATGTAAAATTTACAATAGAATCGTTGTAGACCATGGCTGTCCTGTACGTTTGATTTTACAAAACCATTACTCATTCAGCCTCATAACTTATAATAGATTTATTAATAGAATAAAAATATATATTCTATTTCGAAAGCTGCTTTAGAGAAATAATATTGTGATATTTTTGTGAATTCAGTTTAAATTTTGCTAATCTTCTTGTATAAAATTCTGAAATATTCACAATATTCTGAAATAATTTTCCGAAATGAATAAACCGAATTCGCTGGATGTCGCTGCAGAGTCTTGTAATTTGTGCAGTCACATTAGGGACACTTTGCTGCTTCTTGGGGACACCTACAATATTTGCAGTGGCGTACCAGGGATTTTGGTGAGAAGAGATTAGGTAACTGAATTTGTAACTTCATAAATATATATATATATATATTGCACAGCATGAAAACCCATTCTGGCTTCCTATCGGCTTCTAATATTTTGTTATGACGTCATATATGAATGGTATTTTAACACTTGCGTAAAATACAAAAACACATAGGAAAAATAGCATTCTAATCACAAAGGGTGTTTCTGTCAATGACTTGAATTCAAACACAGGTTGAGAAGCTCTAATCTGTTACAGAAGTAACGGTATCGAAAAGCACGACGTCCTACTAATAAAGAGTTTATGCCCCCTTGCTACGCTTTTGATTACGCCCTTCTTTACCACGAAATTTCAACTAGTAATTAAGTATGCTCTTACCCAGGTATAATAACTTGGACTGAATTACTATACCTTCGTTAGAATCCCCGTTTTTGTATCCACGAACAATAGCTCGAATCTTTGAAACTGTTGCCGCAGAACCTGAATGTTAAATAAAACATACACGTCTATCGACTGTCATGATTATGGGCTTCCTAGTTTTGTCCAGTCGATAACGTGAGTCATTCTAGAATTATTTGAACTGTTAACAGTATTTCCATATGAAACTATCTTGAAGGCTAAAAAATCCACTATCGTATTTTTGTCTTATTTATAAAATCTTTAGGCCCTAAATCTACTATCCGTGCGATGTCGTATTGATATCACATTAGAGCTTACCCATAAAACTTCATAAATAAAAATATTGAAATTCAGGAATAAAATTCACCTGCATTTTGCTTCCACTTCATCAGCATTTGCATTTTTTGCTCTTCAACCGATTTTACCAAAGTCTTCTACAATGTCATCGATCTCGTGTTGATCAAACACAGCCCAACACTAGAACGAGCGAATCTTTTGAAGTTGACGATTTTAGGAAAAGCTTGGACGATCTCTTCCTGGAATACGTCTTCGAGGCGTTCTGAACGGTCAGATTATTATTTAGTCATTCATTAATTTCCAAATTTCACCATAACGTTTCTAATTGTACTTTAAATTAGGCGGAGCATTGTGGTTTTGCTTAATTCAATATCATCCAGGACTAGGTGAACAGGGTATAACAGTTTGGGCAGACAAAAATATTATCATATATAAACTGGAACAGATAATATTACTATTCTAGGTGATTCAAGAGTCTTGCAAGACTCTTGAATCACTTAGGATAGTTATCTCTACTCTTGCTACAGCATCCTTGCACTATATGCATACGGATCCGCCGCAGCAAAAGCATAGAAGGAGGATAAGTAGTTAATCTCGCAGAAACCCAAACCATTAGCACAAAATAATATTACTGCTTGGATTGTCGACGAACTATAATGAGAATTGAATTACTCTAGATAAGTCGAAGAAAAAAATGTAAAAAATCTTCATTTTGTTGTCACCGTACCTGATGAATATTTTTTTGCCATGTTATTTCTCGTAAATATATTTTGGTTACTTTAACAGAGTTATATGATGAATGTAATTGAACGCCTGGAAAAGAAATAAGGATGTGAGTGTTTAATTAACGGTAATTTAAAGATTTATATTACAGCCCTTATCCAGAGTGCAAGTCTACAAAATATTCCAGCTACGAACGATAAGAGATCCGATTAACCTGTTATCGTGTCCTATCAGTTGCAAAAAATAAGTTTGACACGACATATTATTTTTCGATAATTAAGGTATTTGGTAACCATCGAAGCACCAACAAAAAGTTAAATATAGCAAATTTGTTACGGCTAATATGATACCATTTAACTCAGAAATAGGCCTTGCATGAACACTCTCCGATATATAAGAAGCTACTTCACTTTGTAATTCTCGGAATCTTTTCTGTCCTTTATTATACACTGGTGAGGGGTCTCCTTACAGAATGTTTCTTTTAGATAAATTCATTTTTGTGTGTAAAATGTTGATTATACAAGACAAGGTTTTAACCCCTGAAACTTGGATATTTTGAGCGGCTTTTTAGCTAGTTTGTTAAAAACGTTCTTATGACATAAAGAGTTTAGATCTTACATGAGCAAACTACAGAACACGGGCCAAATCAGCCCGATGTTACTCAATCTGGACGTCTGATGCTGCCATAAATTTCTGTTTTCAACTAATTCTGCATGTAGTACATAGTTGTTGTTATTGAAATCTCCATGGCGCAATAGGCTTGTTAGATTATGATCTTAGTCTGTTTAATTCGTATTTTAGGTTGACAATTGCCACAACCAAACTGAAACCAAATTTTGATGTTTTAGCTTAAAAATAGCTCAAGGAATTTGTTGAGATTGCGATTAAATTCAGTTTTGGCACGAGGCCAATTGTTTTCCAAGTTTGTTTTTGTAACACTGCAAATAAAATTCTGTTCATAAAATGTTATTTTTACGTCACACTTACAAGACCCCCAAACTAGGTGCCCACGCCAGGTTACTAGAAGGGCTGAAATAAAATTGCTGCAGAGATTGACGTCACGTCGGTCGGATTTTGGCGCTTTAAAAGTGTGTGTACCAATATAAAGATAACCAATTCTGTTCGCCTATTTTACATCATGGAACGAACTGAAACCTATGAGCAGGGGGATATTCACTTGGCTAACACAGACAGTCCCCGGACTCATAATAGAAATAAAATAAGGAAATCGAAAAAAATAGATATGGCTAACCCTAACCTGGTATACGTACTTCACGAGTACCCTAAATTTGACAATACATCTAAATCGATTCAATTTACGAATTTCTCTGTGCTAGCTCGCTGATACCAAGATAGTGCACAACCTGAACTCTGGTTGTGTACCAGGTTAGAGATCAGGTTGTGCGACATCTTGGTGCGCATACTTCAGTAGTACTCGTTGTGTAAAAAATGCTTGTTCAAGATTTATTCATTGCGACAGTGTTGATTACAAAGTTCACTTGAGCAAAATTATTTGTTCATCTCTTATCACGGTAATAATGCAATCGAGTACATAAGAGAGTCATGTGAGCAAACGTCTGGCAACCCGATGAGAGATATTTACTGTTTTGCAATAGCACATACGAACCTATTGTTCTTACAGGTATATTGTTTGCTGAACAACGACGCATGTGAGGTCACACTGAGTTGAATTACGGAACATTGAACATTACACGACAGGCGGCGACTAATCTCAAATATCGAAATATGTTTTTAAAGTCGTAAAGACATCGCCACATTGCTAATTATCTCCAAGTGCTCGCATGTTGAAATATTATAAAGAATAACATACGAGACGACCGTTGGATAGTGATAACGCCTTTTTTTCTATCAAATGTGTAATTTTATCCGTAAATATTATAACTGTACTCATCGCCATCCCGGGCTTGGATAATAGGGCTTTGCTCGCCCTGTGATTAAGCAATGTTTGTAGACTTTTCAAACATTCGGAATGAAATGAGATATTATAAGTTTTTTTTTCTCACGCGTGGCATACACAAAATGGCGGGGGGAATACACGGATTTAAAATGCCTGGCAGCACAACCATTTATGCGCGCGTGGCGCATTGCAAAAGTTGAATATAGCAGAATTTTACATCCAAATATTGATCCCATATTTTTGAGATTTTGCATTATGATGTCGCAAGTTGGGATATATTTATTTACCTTCGGGAGTGGGAGATTGAAATTATTCCATAGCAAATACAAGGCGACTGAGAACATTCTGAAGTATCTGGACACATTTGTGACTTTTGACTTATGTCTAAAGTTATCAGATCTCTAAACATACTTTGGGGTTGCACGCCTTTTCTTAATATTATTATAGGGCGTCGCGTGATAAGTACATGTTTATTTCCCTATAAAACCCAGCTGATAGATATCGCTACTGACGATTTGTCATATCATAGAGATTGTCACTGACTCACGCGATAAATTTTTATTTAAACGAGCACGGCCGCTCTTAACTATGTCGGATGCCTTCATTTTGTGTTTGGCCATTGAAAATCTACCCACCACAGCGAAGACAAGGAAATGTTATGATACTACGTCTTCAAATTAATTTAGTATTTTTAATATAATATTACCTTATCACAATCTATCACTATTGAAATTAAGAAGATTGATTTGCTATTTGACAAGTTATTGTCTGTATCAAAATCCGTGGATGGGAAATACGAAATTATTGGAGACTCGAATCAAAACCCATTAATTTTTGACCCAAATTTTGATTAAACCATTAGGACGAGGTAACTTGATATTTACACCTTGGCGGCTGTGGATGGCTCCGTATCGTTGAGGCCACAGCTGGTCTATAGTATGGCTTCTGACAAACGCAAACTATTTGCAAGATGTAAGAAACATTCTGTCATTCACCATTTTAAATAAGCTTTGGGGCTTAGTTGTTTGTGTTCTGGTTAATGAAATTTTGTAGTAAATTTTAAGTAATATGAACGAATAGGCTTGCGTAACTTAATTCAATTAAATAGTTTATCAAAGATGAACCCGTACATGAAAATTCAAGTATAGCTACAAAATCAGAGATAAGTTTCATATTCAGATGTAAATAATAACCTCGGTTCTTACAGGTGGGTTATCACGCAAACATTTTTGTGACGAATTTGATTCTATATATCATTTTAGGATTTTTGGCGTTTACCGTTTGCATAAAGTGTATTTTGTTTTCGAGACTCGAAGTCTTGAAAGTCGACCCTGCCGAAATCGAACGCAAGTTAGTATGTCCCGTCGATAGTAAAAACTCGTCGGCGTAATTTTGCATTAGATTTTATATTCATGAATAAGAAAAGTAACAAAATCCACGACATATTGTAATATATTTGAGAACTCTAGCTTTGTGCATTCCACATAATTATAATATTGTGCCCTAAAATAAATGATTGTTATATTAAATTGCAGAATTTTAGTTCATTCTGTTGAAAGAGTTCTCCGAGCTATTTCGAATACCCGGGAAAATAAGAATATTGACTTTTGTCATTCCAGGACACGCAACGAGCATTCTGTAATTTTCCAGCGTATAAAGCATTTGAACTTTATTTTTACTCACTTGTCATAAGCACGATAGGATGGTAAATTAACTACCGAATAGTGCGTTATATCTTGAACGAATTTTGAACACTGTAACATATCTTAATTTTTTCAAATACAAAATGAACTTACATATTCATGATTTTGTTTTGAATAATCAAGAAAATAAACATTAACCTATAAATTGTACGTATACGCAGCGTTCCGTTCCCTTCGCAACTTATTATTGCAATAGCACAATGCCCTGTTACGTACTATGGTTTAATACATATTTTTTCTACTTATTTCTCTATTGAAGCCTATTTGATCATCAATACCGCGACAATATTATAATAATGATAATATAATATGCTCGTGATGGCATTGAAATAGCTGACTGGCTAATAGTCTGACATACATAACTGACTTCAAAATCGTAACCTCTCTCGGCTATGTGACCGACCAAACTGCGATAGATACCACTGCCGCTTTGATCACTTGATTAGGCGACCTTTACAACCTAATACCCCCATTTTCTGTCTTGCAAATTCAAATATCACTAAATGAAACCCATAAAAAGCAATAAGTGACAATTCGATTATGAACCGATCGGGCAACTCTTAACAAAGAGCCACAGCCCCAATACGCACCTTAAATAGCGAATAATGGTATTTCCAAACCTTGGCTCTCATTATATTGCTCAACCAATGGCAATACAATCTGAATGTGAAACGGCAAATATGGAATAAATCTAGAGACGTTGGATAAAGGGACAACTTGGATAATGGCAAGGCATGGACTAATATCAATGAATGGATTG